CAAAACCTAAAGTGGATTGGGGGGAGGGGGATAAATATAAATGGGCCCATAGGGGGGGTAACCTAAGTAGTAGTTTAAAGTATTTAACCCTAATGTTAATATTGAATTAACTTGAACTTACATTTAGCAAAAATATAGCTAACTTAAATCTAAGCACCACACTAGTGCTATATATAAAGCCTTTGATTTGATGCATAATTATAAAAGTTAATTCTAAGCACCATAAATCATATGATATATGATTATTAGTTATTTGTACATGTGCATAGCACTAAGTATTTACACTATTGTAAAGCAAATACTTGCCTTACATTTTGATGCATGCCACAAAAATCAAATTTAATAACACGCTGTTAAGTTATGCACGTGCCTTCCCACTAATTGGTATGTCAATAATCTCCTTTTTTCTCTTTTTGAGATGACCTCTAAGGGGCAGAGGCAAAGGGGACCCAATGGAGCCATCGCTCCCTCATGGTTCAGAAAATTTCCACTGTAATACAGTTTTCTATATAAATTTTCTCCTCATCCCAATCTTCGTATCAATGTTGGTTTTCCTATGGGCCCATTATATACTTCATTTATGTTTTGACTCCTTGTAACAATTTCCTGGCTCCGCCCCTCATGACCTCCTTTATTTATATTCGAATGGTATAATCGTTCATCCCAAAAGAATTAGCTATGTAACATCACCGTCCCCATGTGGATCTGCTGTCCTTCTTTTAATCTTCACCCTAGTCAGAGATCGTCCTTCCAGAGAAAAAAACAGTGCATGGATTTGTATTTTCTGGGTCTGACGAGAAGATGGTTGTTGTACGAGTTGAAAATCGCAGAGAAAGATGATGAAAGTTCAAACCACCTACCAAAATTACCGAGTGATCATTGTTGGAACTGGGACGACACAGGTAACACGTGGCCAACATGCCAGGATGACATGGCAAATCTCGATTGGCCCAGGCTTTTCCCCTTTGTATTATATCAAAAGACAAAATTACCCTCGTACTTCGATTTTATCAATCAACATCAATGGCTGGCTTTCTTTTGTCTTTTTCACTTTTGCAAATTGGGAAAGGGAAATGTGCCCACATTCGTCCTCCGATAGCTTTGATGGCTTTTTTGCGCAAGTTTTCTGTTTTGGTGAAAGGCCTTAGATGTGATTGGATGATGCGCCGCTTAGAATAATATTGTACGGATACACGATCTTCTGGATGGAGGAGCGCTGGAGCTGGTGGCATCGAGGCGGCATCTTTCCCGGTGGGGTCGGTTCCAAGACGACAGAAGGCAATCATAATCGACCACGTCATTTTGAAAAGTTGCCCCACGTGAACGCTCCGGAGTTTACATTACGATTTACGAGTAGAACTGCAGACGAACTCGTGATGGGATCAATGAACCAACCAAGTTGCCAGAGGAAGCGGTAAACCGGTGACTGGTACTGGTTTATTTCTTATTTCCTTATATATATTTTAGATTTAAATTTAGGGAAAATAATTACTGCTGTGAGATGAAGATTTCGTCTAATTACAGTGGGAGGCGTCAAATCAACAAAAGACTTATGGAAAAGATAACGAGAAGTCAGGTCTGATGAATTTGAAGTTGAAGGGGATGGAGTTCTCAATTCCTGCATCCAATTACCAGAGAAACCAAGGTAATGCAGCGGAAAATGTGTGTTTTCTTACAGGTTCTTACCTCTTTTTTTTTTGTTATTGTTATTCTCTCTGTTATTTACGCCAGCTTTTATTTATTGGGATCATTTATCCCTTGCAGATGTTTATAATCTGTTATCCGTTTGAATGCTTTGAAATTGATTTGTTCTTTTTGGAACTTATAGCGTGGGAATCTGGAAATTCCTCATCGGTTTCTATCAATCTTCCATCGTTTCTTTCCGTTGTTGCAGAATGAATCGGGGGAGAGAATAAGAAAATCGGAACTGTTTTCTTCCTTTTTTATTATAAATTCTAATTTTAAATATTGAAATAAAAAAGGAATTAGAGAAACCGGTGAAAGAGGTTCTGAGCTCTCATTGCCACGTAGAATTACGTGATGAAAGTGGTCTGCAATTTAGTGGACCGGGTTGTCAATCTATCATTACTGTTTTATTTTTTATTGTTCTCTTTATTTATTTTTTATTTTTCCCCTCAAAATCTAAGATTCTCTACAATGGATAGGATGAACGGCAATCGTTATGAAACAAACAAACCAACCAAGTTGAGCAACCGAATTCGATAATCCAAGGTAGCACGTTATCTTCCAGAGTTCCATCAGTCTGTTCTACTTTTTAATTTATTTTATTTTTTCCTATTTCTTGGTTCCACTATTTATTTTATAAAATATAATACTTAATATTGCTTTTGGTTTAAGATTCGAACGGATTGATCCAACATCACGAATTTTCATGATATGGATTGTTGCCTTTTCACTCAAGTTGGGTTTCTCTATTATCGTAGTCTCAAATCTGAACTTCCTTTTCGTCTAAGCTGTTGTTGGTTCTTTTCTTCCTTCTGTTATTGAGCTCTTTGGTTTTCATCGGTTGTTTGGGAATTTCTTCGGAGAAGAGGTAGTTTTCTCAATCGGTTGTGAGTACCTTTGCTTATTCTCCATTATTGTTTCTGAGTATTGTTGAATCTCTCTCTTTTTTGCTTATTCTCTCTCTCTCTCTCACATACACTTTCTGGGGTGCTGCTTAATCTCTCTTTGTTTTGCTTATTCCCCATTATTGTCTTTCTCGATAGTGCTCAAATCGTTCTTGCTTTTGCTTATTCTGCACTTTGGTTTTATAGGTATTGTTCTCTCTCTCTCTCTCTCTCTTTGACTTTCTGGGGTGCTGCATAATCTCTCTGTGTTTTGCTTATTCACCATTATTGTCTTTCTGGATAGTGCTTAAATCGTCTCTGCTTTTGCTTATTCTGCATTTTGGTTTTACATGTATTCTCCTTCTCTCTCTCTCTCTCTGACTTTTTGGGGTGCTGCTTAATCTCTCTTTGTTTTGCCTATTCCACATTATTGTCTTTCTGTATAGTGCTTAAATCGTCTCTGCTTTTGCTTATTCTGTATTTTGGTTTTACAGGTATTGTTCTCTCTCTCTACCACTCCCATGTTTGGATTTTTGGATTTTCTTAACGAACCCCCGGGGAATATTCCTGGTTTTGATTAGAAATGTAGTGATTTTGTGCTGAAAAGTTGGATTATGTTGCATTACTCGAATTTGGTTGCATAAGCTGCCTGAGATTTCTGCATGGTTGGTTTATTTACTATATTTCTTTTTCATTGGGAATTTATCACCTAAAGTTATTTATTCTATTGGGAAATAATCACACAATGGCTTGGCATACCTGTTTCACATGGTGGGATTTATAATTTAGATCCTTCGACAATTCTCTCATCACCCAAAATACAGGAATTATTAAGAAAGATTAGCCTTATTTCTTTATGTCTATTGCAATCCGTATATGTTAATTTGAATCCACTAATACATACATTACTTTTTCACAGAGAAGACTTGGGGATGCTTCATCCTTTTTGAGTTACCTTGTTTAAATGTTGATTTTGTCGCATTGTTTTTCTTATATTTCCTTGATTCTGAATATTTTAGCAAACCCAAATTGGTGGGAGCCTCGTGCACTGGGCTGCCCTTTTTATGGTGAAACTTTATTAAGTAATTGTTTGATACTATTGCCATCTTGATGATCTACTTCGCTCTTTCTTGTTGATGGGTTTTACTTAACAAGTGAGCTGGAACTTCAGGCATCAAGTACTGCAAAAAGAATCAGCTATTCTAATGAAGCAACTGAATGTAATGAAACATCTAACTAGGTTTTTCTGCTCCTTTAGCTATACCTAACCAAAACAAAAGAAAGTATACTTCTCTCAACTTGTGTTTCTTGTCTCCTCAGCTTGGTAGATTGGGCCCATATACTACACAAGTTTCTATATTAGTGGCTTATCCTTCCATTTGATAATTTGGAGTATTTGATATGAGGGATAAATGATTGTCTGTGAATCATCTTCTTTATCTTCTCCTTAGATTGTGCATTTGATTTGATTTTTTTTTTTTGATTTTTCTGTTTTGCCACATTAGATTTGGTCCTCTTCTAGGGGAGTTTGTCAAAAATGAGTTGACATTTTACATAAAGTTTCATAAAAAAATCTTTTTTTTTTTTTTCTGAATGGATATGCACTGATAGATCTCAAATTTAAGAGTATGACTTGGAATATTTTTTTTGATAATCGTATGACTTGGAATATTTTCAAGGACCAGAATTATGCATGTTGCATACTTCTAAATAAAAGTTAAGATTTGGATCCTTCATGGGGCTCCACAATGAGGGGTAGCCTTTCCTCAAAACCCATAACCCCCCACCCTTGGTGACAGCTTGATCCCAAGTCTCCATTACAACCAGCCAGAGAATTTACCAAGTAAACAGCCATTCAGTTGGTTTCATGTTCTTTAGCTTAGCTTTGGTTGTGGGCTAATCAGGGTGCTCATCTAGGGCTTTGAACTTCCTGATAGGGGTTTTGTTCTTATTGTGCTATAACAATGTTTAATATTTTATGCATAAAAAGTGTTTAATATTTTGGGGAATGCCGGAATGGGTCCTCAAAATGTTTTTTCTTTTTTCTTTTATTTTTTTTGAAAAAGGTAAGGTATTCTATTGTTTTAAGTATCAAAGAAAAAACTACAAACAGTTAAGTACAAAGAGATTTTGTACATCAACCCATTAAGAAGAGGGAGAGAAAAAAAAAAGAATGAAATCCTAAAATCCAATAAGATTTAATGATGTTGGACCAAAGTCTAAGAAAAGGAAATAAAACCTATACTTTTTTTGTTGGTCTATGTGGAGAACACTGATGTGGGCCCCACTGTGTTCGTAGGACAGCATGTGTAGTTATTTGTTCCAGTTATAGTAGTGTCAGTTTGAGTCAATTTGTTAATTCAGTTGTTATTTATTTCAGCTTTTATTTACTTTATCTATTATGTAAGTACTAAGGGCAGATGTGTCCTTTCCATTATGTACTAAACATAACCTATAAATAATAAGAAAGGGGCGGCGACAGATCAGTAAGAATCTGTCCCTCCTTTCAACCACTTGTGTT